GGGTCCCTGAAATGGACACAGCCATCCTCAGTGCTTTTTAAAGGTACCAATACACACCATGAAGTTGTTACAGTAAGTGTCACACTTGTGGGTGCCGGTACTGCGTACCGTTGAGTACCCTCGGGGGGAGCAGATGGCCTAGATGAGAACTATGTTTCCTAATGTTAGCAGCACAGTCTGGTGACGCTGTTGTTGCAGCATTCAGGCACTAGAGGGAGAACAGAAAGTCCAAAGGAGAAAGGCAATACCCACTTGGCCACTGCTGCTCCACCCAGAGGTACATTTAGGGAAAAGGAAGGATAGTGGAGCGGTATTTTAAGGTTGGAAGGTGCATGGAGTTAATGCTGAGGTAATCGGAGGTGACATCACTGGGCGTGGCACAGGCTTTCCAAATCTGGGGCAGGCTCAGGAAAGAGGTTGACATGAATTCTGTTCTGTGAACCACTGTGAGACCTCCAAGTATAGGATGGTATATAAATTCAATAAATAAAAATAAATACAATGAATTGTAAAATAACATCCAACATAAATGACGCCGGTTACAATTAATTTTTTTATGCGCACTTTACAAACTACAGTGGTTTGGAAAATAAACAAATCCAAAATTATTGTACAGGATTTAATATTCTCTCACACACACTTCACACCCATGCTTCATTCTACATCATAAATATATATGGAATGTGACTTCTACTGCTGCTTTGAAAGGAATGTAGAATTCCACACTGGGTTCTGCCCCCTTAAACTGCCTTTGCCTCATGTGGCAAGGTGTTGCTCACCAAGAAAGTATTCTGTGCTGCCTGAAAAAATTCTAGTGCAATTTTAGCCAACTCCAAGATGGTTGAATGCTTTTTAAAACACCAGCAGGCCTGAACATAGCGCACCATCACACCAGCACTGCCCGCAAGTAACAAAATATTTGGGGACCTGAATGCAGGAGCTTCTTTAGATGCAGTTTTCTTTGAATTGCAGCTCCTCACACAACCCCAGTATGCTGTGGGACAAACTATTTTCGAAAGCCTCAGTTGTAATGTGGGGATAAAGGAAGGTTTAATTATGCGCTGGTTGTTATTATTATTTTGTAAGACAGATGCCCTGCTAGGTGAATAGGGTTTTGACCTGCAAATAACTATGGCAAACATAGCTGAAAGTCCTATATATACAGCTCCGGGCCTTTTCTCTGATGGTGTGCAGAAATCACCGTATGCTTCATTTAGATCTCAGCCACAACACATTTTCTTTTAAATGTTTGCAATAATATGTCAAAACCAGATCCTGTGAATGGCAACGCAGCCTCACAATTGTCCTTTGCTGGGAACTGTCATATTAATAAATAAAACAAAGCTTTACAAAGCAGAGTCACATGCACCCACTAACAAGGTGTGGGGAAAACTCACATGAATTAAGACGCAGCTTTTTTGGCACAGGATTTAGCCCATTATTATATAATGCAGAATTCACTTGTAATTTGGCAGTGACTAGAAGGGCACATGCTCATAGAAAAAGCAGTGCGAGGCCTGTGAACTGGCACCTCACAGATGTGGTAAACTATATTATTGATAAGCCTTCTCTGTTGATCTTTCTTTTAAAAAAGAAAATCATAAATGTGACGTATTCTCTGTGTCCCCTTACCCAGCACCACAAAAATTCCACTCTTAAAATCAAAATTGAATCTAGTTCAGTAACTTTAAAAGCAAGGCTTCCAGGGAGAAGTGTAAAAATTCTTGAGAAACAGATGCACGTAATATATGTTGTGGCTCAGTCTTGGTGCTGTGTGTTGTGCAATAAACTGGGCATTTTTTCCCATATAAAGTGCAGTTGTCAGGTGTGTACCACTGTGACCTCATTCAAAATATGCTCAGTGTTTAGTTTACATAACTAAAAAGGTGATGGGGTGGAAGGTTTGGTACATTGGGCAAAATTACAGTACATAAATGAGGCATGCCAGATTTCTCATCCTATGACATGAAAGGGACAACAGGCTGGGAAAAGTAACACAGAGGGCAGACATCACCAAACTAAATGCTTCATCGAAAGGATGTCATTTTGTCCTAGCTACAATCAAATGGTAAGGCAGGGATGAAGTGAGCCAAAAGGTCAAGAAGGTCAACATTCAATTGGAAACCAGCACCTGCAGAAAAATCCCTAAATTGCTCAGATCAGTGAACAAACGTGACTTAAAATCTGTTAAGGACCAGGGAGTATACTTTAACCAGCTTTGATCTTACAAGTCTTCTACATTGGTCTGGTTGAAATCCCCATAGTTCCTTTCTCTGGCCATAGCAGAATGGCTCTCATGTCCCAGGCCAGGGTGGGTTTGAGTCCTGATAAAATATCCACTTGCCAAAAGGGATTTATTATCTCTGCCAGCTCCTTGTGAGTAACTCAGTTCCACGTAATGTGCTTAGGATGTGCCCATCATTAAAGGATAAAAGAATTAAAGCGAATTCTAAAACTGACAGGGTAGGAGAGGCCTATGTTAGTTTGCAGAAGCCCTGCTGCTTTAAAGATGAACAAAAACCCACAGTTAAACTGGTCAAGCACCACCTGAGGTAGAATCCTGAACCTAAAAGGCATACGTAATTGCTATTAGGTTATAGTACAAATACACTGCTTTAAAAATAACCACTCAATTCATAATCTGTTATATATGTTCAGAAGGATTTATATAGCCTGAATTCTTGTACCTGCATAATAATAATAATAATAATAATAATAATAATAATAATAACAATAATAAATTTTATTTATATCCCGCCCTCCCCAGCCGAAGCCGGGCTCAGGGCGGCTAACAACACTAAAATAGTGCAACATTATAAAAACATTATAAAAATTAATTAAAATCAAAATTGATGGCAACCATAAACTAAAGTTTTGTAAAGATTGCCAAAGGAGGGAGTCAGACTGCGCCCTGACCAAAGGCCTGGTGGAACAGCTCTGTCTTGCAGGCCCTGCGGAAAGATGTCAAGTCCTGCAGGGCCCTTGTCTCTTGTGACAGAGCGTTCCACCAGGTTGGAGCCGCAGCCGAAAAAGCCCTGGCTCTAGTTGAGGCCAGCCTAACCTCTCTGTGGCCTGGGACCTTCAAGATGTTTTTATTTGAAGACCGTAAGTTTCTCTGTGGGGCATACCAGGAGAAGCGGTCCCATAGGTACGAGGGTCCTAGGCCGTATAGGGCTTTAAAGGTTAAAACCAGCACCTTAAACCTGATCCTGTACTCCACCGGGAGCCAGTGCAGCTGGTATAGCACCGGATGAATGTGATCTTGCAGTGAAGACCCCGTAAGGAGTCTCGCTGCGGCATTCTACACCCGCTGGAGTTTCTGGGTCTGTCTCAAGGGCAGCCCCACGTAGAGCGAGTTACAATAATCCAGTCTGGAGGTGACCGTCGCGTGGATCACAGTGGCTAGGTCAGGGCGAGAGAGGTAAGGAGCCAACTGCTTAGCTTGGCGGAGATGAAAAAATGCCGCCTTTGTTATAGCTGCAATCTGCGCCTCCATGGAGAGGGAGGTATCGAAGATTACACCCAAACTCTTAATGGACGGTGCTGGCACTAATTGCGCCCCCGCAAGAGATGGGAGTTGCCCCCTCAATCCCATATCGTCCCGTCCCAGCCAGAGGACCTCTGTCTTCAAAGGATTTAACTTCAACCGGCTCCCACGTAACCATCCAGCCACAGCTTCCAAGCATCTGGTCAGTGTGTCTGGGGCCGAGTCAGGATGGCCATCCATCAACAGATAGACTTGGGTGTCATCAGCATACTGATGGCAGCCCAGCCCAAAACTCTGGACAAGCTGGGCGAGGGGGCGCATAAAGATGTTAAAAAGCATCGGGGAGAGTATCGCACCCTGGGGCACTCCACACACCAAGGAGTGGTGGGATGACAATTCCCCCAAGCGCCACCTCTCTGTCCCCGACCAGAGAAACGAGCGCAGCCATTGAAGGACTGTGCCCTGGATCCCCACGTCGGCAAGGCGGTGGTCTAGGAGTTCGTGATCGACCATGTCGAAGGCTGCTGACAGGTCTAGAAGAATCAGCAGCCCCGACCCGCCTCGATCCAGCTGCCTGCGGAGATCATCTGTTAGGGCAACCAGAGCCGTCTCGGTCCCATGACCAGCGTGGAAGCCAGACTGGAATGGATCCAGAGCTGATGTTTCATCCAGAAACCTACCAAGCTGTTCAGCAACCGCTCTCTCAATCACCTTACCCAGGAATGAAAGATTCGAAACCGGGCGGTAATTGGATAGATCTAAGGGATCTAATGATGTTTTCTTTAAAAGCGGGCGCACCACTGCCTCCTTCAGTTCCCCTGGGAATGTCCCGGTGCCAAGGGACAAATTGATGATATCCCCCAGGGGGGCCCGCACCTCGTCTGAACACGCTCTAATCAGCCAGGACGGGCACGGGTCGAGAGCTCGGAGGGGTCTGTCCACATAGTCTTAAGTGCATGGCTATGCAATATTTTTAAATGTTTCAAATCTGTTTAATTGTACAAACTGACTGATCATGAAATGTTGTGGAGGAATTTAGGAATACAAATAATGAAACTTCATTGCCCTAAAAAAACCAAAAACCTTCTAGGCTCTTTAGGAAGTGGAGAGGGGGGATATCACAGTTTTAAGTGCCTGATATAGAAATGCCGTAAGCTTCTGAGCCTCACTGAAGGCAGGAGTGGAAAAGACATGCTAGTTACATAAGAATATGAGTGGCAGAAAAATGTATAAACTGATGCACGTATATCCTCTGAGTTTAATAGGGATTATGTTCAGAGTTTGACCAAACTGAGGGAGGCAGTGGAAGACAGGAGTGCCTGGCATGCTCTGGTCTATGGGGTCACGAAGAGTCGGACACGACTAAATGACTAAACAACAACATGATTCAGCACTATTCTACTAGATGACAGCAGTGTTCCCACAAACTTATTTTTCATTATTCTTTCACCAGAACCACAGTATTTTGCTTTCACAAATTCCAGTGTGTGTGTCTGTCTGTGTGTAAAATAGACCCTCATATTATTTTTTTATTTAATTTATTTAAAATATTTATATTCTGCCGTCCCCATGCTCAATATACTCCACTCCATAAAAACGAATGTAGGACAATATGCAGTCAGATAGTATTTGACTTACTATAACCAACCAACCCACTAACAGAGTATAAACAAGTGATAACTATTTGCACTAAAGTGCATACAGTGATGGAAGCACCAGAAACGGGGGAGGCAATAAAAATTGATAAATATATGGGCTCATTTTGAAATTAGTTTTCAAGCATGTGTTCTTTTGAAATCTATGGGTTTGGCTTTTTTAAAGTGACAGAACTGTGGATTCAGTGAGGGAATCTGATGTATAGCTAAGTTCATCGTACTTTCTTATTGACTTGGATAGGTTGGAAATATGGTGTCCCTTCTTCACATTTTCTGGTGTAACTGCATTTGCTGCAGGCTTTCTACTTTCTTGCTCCCTCATTGATCTCACTACATAAAGTGTGAGTTACAAATTCCTGCACAGTTTAGAAGATGCTCTGGGGAGCCCTGACTGGCAAACTGTTGCTCTTCTTGGCATTGGGAACAATGCTACATATATAGCCCCAGACTATGGTATAAGACTACAGAGCAGTTTTTGGGTGTTATTTTGATAAGTGTCAAGCATTTGATGATGCTAGTCCAAAAAATATGGAGAACAGTGAATTCCCCAATACAATCCTCAAAGTCTATTGTTGCTATTTTATCCAGTTATGAATCTTGAGAGGTCCTGCAAAGAGCTTCCCTTGGTGACTTCATGTTGCATATTTGACAGTGAGTCTGAAGCAAAAGGGTATTTCATAGCTTGCTCTCTTGCCATCCATGTGCGTTCTTTCCAAACTTGTACACTAACCTCCTGTCCACTCGTTCCAAAATACCAGTTTTATAATAGTATCTGCAACAACAAAATTGAAGTTGGACTTAGAAACAGCTTTAACATACAGTACTATGTTAAATGTTTTACTATGCTAGTGTGTAAAACAGCAGCAGTCAATAAGACATTCTTTCTGAGAGACCACTCTAGTCTTCTGGCAAACGGGAACTTGCACACATACAGCACAGTTAAACTGCTCAGAGTTCAACACTTTCCCAGACACCTTGAAGTTCAACTCCCTCCTTTTGAAACACTGGGCATTACATTTGTTTTCCTAAGAAAACAGTTCAGAGTCAAATTCTAGGATTGTTGCCAAGGGAAATGGTAAGGTAACAGTATTAAGCGGGATATTCATTGGGGAGGTTGGCAAATGATCTGTTGACTAATGTCTCATTATCCTCATTTATTCTACTCACAGATTTGGCAACATGATCCTATCTCTAATCAAAAGAGCCATAGCTGTGTCTCATGACCTTTGCATTATACAGCATAAAAAAAATAAAAAATCTTTGGAACTGTGAAATCAGCTGTCTTATATAATACCGATTAAATAAATAGCTTACCTGAGTGCTCTGCTTAGTTTTTCATAGGTCATTCTATCGTTTTTCTTTCTTTGCCCCCACATCTTTGCTAGAGCATCTGATTTAACAACTCGAAAGATGCCTTGGTCTCTGTCTTCCCATTCCAGAATACCACTGTTCTCCTCAGGAGACAGGAGGAGGTCTCTTACAAATTCCCACAAGTGAGAGCTCTGTAGACCTTCAAGAATTAAAAGCAGCACATAGTTTTTACTAGTAAAAACTCATTTCAGAAGCAAGGCTGTCAGGGTTTTGGGTAGGAGGACTATGATGCAGGGAAGGGGAGTGGCACACTACACTGCAAATCTGTAGAGCAAGCTGACATGGGCCATTACAAAAATAACCATGCTTGGCTGGAGATAGTGCTAAACAGCATTTGACTAGACCCCTTTAGGAATCATGCTAGGGACTTCTGAAGACTAAATGGTAATAATGCCACTGAGCACATGCAAAATGCTGTTTCCTCACTACTGTGTAGAAGCCACAATCGGTTCTCAAATATCAGCAGTGACAACTGGGACCTGTAACAAATGTGGAGTGCTTCTGTTTAGTGTTCCAGCCATCACATACTTTCAGGATAATACATTCACTTTGTTTCCTCTTGGTTTTTGTAATATTTTCTCCTGCAAGCCCTCCTCCCCCACATATGAACATTCAGAATTCCATGGCCTCTGGGCATTCTCAGTCACCACTGGGCTATTTCTGAATATTTTTACCCCCTTAGATGTTATTGTTTAGTCGTTCAGTCGTGTCTGACTCTTTGTGACCCCATGGACCAGAGCATGCCAGGCACGCCTGTCTTCCACTGCCTCCCACAGCTTGGTCAAACACATGTTCATAGCTTCAAGAACACTATCCAACCATCTCGTTTTCTGTCGACCCCTTCTCCTTGTGCCCTCAATCTTTCCCAACATCAGGGTCTTTTCTAGGGAGTCTTCTCTTCTCACGAGGTGGCCAAAGTATTGGAGCCTCAGCTTCACGATCTGTCCTTCCAGTGAGCACTCAGGGCTGATTTCCTTAAGAATGGATAGGTTTGATCTTCTTGCAGTCCATGGGACTCTCAAGAGTTTCCTCCAGCACCATAAGTGAAAAGCATCAATTCTTCGGCGATCAGCCTTCTATATGGTCCAGCTCTCACTTCCATACATCACTACTGGGAAAACCATAGCTTTAACTATATGGACCTTTGTCGGCAAGGTGATGTCTCTGCTTTTTAAGATGCTGTCTAGGTTTGTCATTGCTTTTCTCCCAAGAAGCAGGCGTCTTTTAATTTTGTGACTACTGTCACCATCTGAAATGTTCATGGAGCCCATGATCCTTCATGGATCACTGCCTTGTTGTGGTGAAGGGGCTTGAATAACTCAGAGAAGCTATGAGCTATGCTGTGCAGGGCCACCCAAGACGGACAGGTCATAGTGGAGAGTTTTGACCAAACATGATCCACCTGGAGCAGGAACTGGCAAGCTACTCCAGTATCCCTGCCAAGAAAACTCCACCAATAAAGACCCCTTAGATATTTTCCCCTAAATATTTTCCCTCACTTTTCAAACCTTCATTGCTACTAACCATGCTGATGCCTCCTTTTCATTTCTCAGTACCCTCATTTTTGCAACACAGCTGTTGGTATTAATATTGATTCATCTCATTTATCTATCACTATATATACCATATTTACTTGAATGGAATGTGCACCATTTTGGACAAATGACCTCACAAAAATTAGGATGTGCATTAGATTTGATGGTGCCAGCAAATACTTTTTTGTTTTCAAGGTTTTGAAAATTGAGGTGTGCATTAGATTCGATGGCACATTAGATTTGCATAAATATGGTACATACATACAGTATATACAATGTACTCATTGCTTATGGGTTGATACCCAGCTGTGCTTGAGTGTTGACACTTCTATTGAAATTAACTGTTGAACTCCTTATCCCCATGAAGCTGGAGAAGAAACAATTTAAGGAAATGAATGAACTATGAGTGTGCTTGAGTCATCATCTCTTGAGTTCAAGGAGGTTTACAGCTGCAGGAAGCTAATGCTGATAATTTCTACTGAATCTCTTCTCTTCCCCAAATCTGAACTTGAAATGCAATGGCCCCACTTCAGATTTTACTAAGAAGAGTCTGTATGCATACATAATAAACTCAGGTTTTGCTCTGCTATATTTGAGACTAAATTGCAAAATCAGATCAAATAATAAGAGCTGGGGTTTTTTAATAAAAAAAATCATATATATATATATATATATATATATATATATATATATATATATATTACAGCTCATTCAACAATTTCAAATAAATAGATCTTTTTTTAAAAAAGCAGTAAAGGGATATATGCCTGTGACAGACTTGTGAGAACCAAGCTCAAGTCTCCCTCAGCTATGAAACTTACTGAGCGACTTTGCCCTAGTCAGCACAGCCTTCTTTGCATGCTATTCATGCACACAGAAAACTGATATAATCACCATTTCCACTTTAGAGCTATTCATATATTTTATGCACATGACCAAATGCCTCCACTCCTACTAACTAGTAGCAACTGGCGTGGTTGGGCGGAGCTGCTTTGCTGATACTGCTGCCTCTCCTGCTTGCCAGGATGGGGCAGGACCATCAAGGTGCACTGATGGCCCCACCCTTGCTGCTGCCCTGCTTCACCCCATCCAGGTAAACAGCAGCTATGCCAGCGCCAGGAGGGTGGCTCCACAGCTCCACCCTGCCACACATGCCACAGCTGATAGCTTCCAAACCAATTCTTCCACAGATCCTTTGGATGCTATTCATATCCTGTTTTTATTCATTCTTGTTTGTTCAGCATTCTTCCAAACCATCCTCTGACTCTCTTATTTCTTTATTCTCAGGCTTGTGCCTTCTCAGCTGCTCCACCCCTTCCTCTGCTTCTTTTCTCCCGACTAAATGTAGAGTTGCCAAATTTTTTTATAGGGTATGAGAGAATTCCCTTGTGACAGGAATAAGTAAACGTATGGAGCTTTGCCCAAACTGGGCTGCAGTGATTTTGTAGCTGTTGTGTCTCGAAACTGCTAGTAAAAAACAGGAAAAGCCTAGTTAGACACGGCTGCTTCTTCATCTTTGGACCTTCAAGGCTTACAACACCTGCTTTTTGAATTTATTCTCCAGGAGGAACCTGAAAAGGTGTTTGTCTCTTGGATACTAGGAGTGCCACCTGGTGGCTGTGTGATGCTGCAAGCATTGCAGTAGATAACTATTGCTTATATATGAGAACTGGAATAAACATTAAAACGAAAACAAGCACTGTTCATACAGACTACAAGGTTATTTGGAGATGTACTGCAAACAGTGACGTTTTCTATGACATTTCAAAGCCTATAGATGGCAGAGGTATACCTACTTGTTCTGCTGTGACTTTGAAACTCTTGGCTCTTGATGCCACCTGTCCTCAAACATGCCTTATCAATATCTGGAAAAGATTTTTTAAAAAAGCATGGACATAAATAAATATGGATGAATTTCAGGGTCAGATGACAATGTGACTTAAAGAGGTCAAAGTGTTCATCTAATAACATTCCATGCAATACTAAACCAACATGGGTCTGTGATTTATCTTAACATAAAAACCCAACTTTAACATAAAGATAAAGCAAAATGAATTATTAACCAGAAGCTGGACAGTTAGCTAAACTGGCAGCCGAAAAAGACAGAGAAGTACATAAGATACCAGTGGCCAGATTTCAATTATCTGAAAACATGGTTATTTGGAAACACAGTGTGTCCTGATTGTATCTCTATGTAAATAGTGCTTCTACCTACAGTATAATCTGAAGGCCATAGTTATGGAGTTTGTAGGCAGTGTCAAAGTTCATTATTGGACATTGGTACCTCTGTGCTGCTCTTTAGACCGATCTTAGTGTTGATGCAGATTTTCCTTTTTTTGCAAGTGCTGGTGTTTTTTGCAAATGCTTGGAAAAGCACAGTGTAAACCTATGTGTCTGGTTTCTAAGAGACTTGCACAACCGAGAACCACAAAATATGATCTTATATTTACACAGGTCTTTGGTCATGTCCCATTTATTTATTTAATAGCATTTCCAAAATCTGTCCAAAGTGGCTTGCAACAAAGAAAAAGAGCAAAAAAAGAGAGGAAACTTCAAAAATAAATAAAAACCGAACAAAATAACTAGAAATGCTTGAGGCAATCAAAAAATTGGTCTAGGCAGAAATCCCCAAAAGCTTGACCAAAAGGGGTATCAAACATTGCTCAGTTCCAGAAAGAATTGTTCCATAGCCTCAGGACCATGCTGCAAGGGCTCTGTTTCCAGTGTCAGATTTCACAGAGCACAAATATATGCAAACTAATGCAGGGCTTATTTGATGAACAAAGATGGCAGGAAGATCAAGTACCAAACTAGCCATTGTGATAAATGCTCTTTTTTGTTGTTGTTGCATTTTATGTGGGCATAAGATGGAGGAGGAGGAGGAGGAGGAGGGGAAGAGGAAGAGGAAGAGGAAGAGGAAGAGGAAGAGGAAAGCAAACATCAGCCATACAAATAGGGATATTAGCAGCATTGTAGTATTGGTTTTTAAAACCCTTTCCTCCCTTGCTGCATTTCTGATAAAAAAATACATTGGATCTTCTTTCTTCAATAGGAGGAGCAATTTCATTTAAAGTGTATGTTAATACAAAGACGTGTTTTAATGTCATATCTAAGTTTGGCCTATGGTCTCTGAGACCACGGATCCCAGACTGTGTAAACTTTCATAGGCATAAACAAACAACTTGAGTTGGACCTGGAATAAGTGCTCCAGTAAACTGTACAGTTGGCATAACCAAGGCTGCACATGTTCCCTTCTCTGGACATTTAACAGGAGACAGACTGCAGCAATTTTGCAGCAACTGATACTTTTTTAGTCTTAAAAAAGCCCCATATAAAACACATTACAGTAGTCAACTTGGAAATTTCAGTCATTGTGGGCAAAGTTCCTATCCTATCAGAAGGTCATAGGTTCAAATCCCCATGATGGAGTGAGTTCCCATTGCTCTGTCCCAGCTCCTGCCAACCTAGCAGTTTGAAAGCACACCAGTGCAAGTAGATAAATAGGTATCGTTGTGGCGGGAAGGTAAATGACGTTTCCGTGCGCTCTGGCTTCCATCACGGTATTCCCTGGCCCACTCCTTGGCCACTTCCGCCAGCCCGAAGCGGTTGTGCCAGAAGCGGTTTAGTCATGCTGGCCACATGACCTGGAAAGCTGTATGTGGACAAACGCTAGCTCCCTTGGCCTGAAAGCGAGATGAGTGCCACAACCCCATAGTCACCTTTGACTGGACTTAACCGTCCAGTGGTCCTTTACTTTTTACCTTTTTCCTGCACAAAGGATTTAATTGCCAGAGTGTTGTTCTATGTACCACAAAACTTGCTTATCAATCTATGGTATTTTAAACAATATGTGTGTGGGATTATTGTTTTCATTTGTTATGTATTTTTGTGGGTTTTTTATTGTAAAGCATCTGTGAACCACGGATGAAGAGTGGTATAGAAATTTAATAAATATTAATAATAACTAGGCTCTTCAATTGCTGCCATATTTCACCCTCCAGGACAGTATCACCTCCAACTTTCCTGGATTCAGTTTCAGTCTATGTGTCCAAATCCATTTGATCACAGCTCATGAGACATAGAGCTGGGTGTCATAAGTACAGTGGTCACACCCAACTTCAAAATTCCCAGTGGTTTCATTCACATAGGTTCTAAAGAACATTGGAAAGAGCATTGAGCTTTCAAACACGAGATGTTAAATTTCATGGGACCAGGTTTGTCTCTCCAGTGGTCACCCTGCGAGGTCTGGTCCCTGTGGACTGCTGTATATTGAAGCTGCAGTTACGGCTTTTAGCTATGAGCTTTCACTCTTATCTAGAAAAACACACACTTTAAAAAAGTTTACTTACAATCTTTTTCAGACGACTTTGTATCTTCATTGTCATGAAAGAAGGAGACACCTATAGAGAAAACCATAAAAGTTTTTAATAATTAATGTCTGTATTGAGACTTTCGGTACATACACTGCATTAAAAAACCCCAATCCCTGGTCCAAAACAAACTCTTAAAACTACAATACTGTTCTACTGTTGTAGCATTTCAGACTCCTCCATTACACTTCACCAAAAACCTAGTTTCCCTTGTATATTCCCTTTTTAATTTCCACGTCCTTGTTCCCCTGTCCCAATCTTGTCTACCTGCCTACAGCACAAGATATGATTTTGTAAAAAGATTTATTCTTGTGTAAAATTCACTTTCCACCTTGTTTTATTCTTGTTTTCCCCACACTGAGTGCATTTACATACATGCCCAGACCAAAGTGTGGTTCAGTGCAACGTATAAATCTCTGTGGATGTCAGTTCAATGCCTTGTGCAAATATTATCAGTCACAGTCAGAATGAAACAATCATACACCGATTAAATCTTTGGCACACTGACCATGAGCCTTGATGTTTTGTAGGATGAAATACAGGTATTCACCACAAATGCCTGCAGCATTTAGAAACTCCTCTTGGGTCATGCCACACAGTTGTTGGCCATTGATGTTAAAGTGGGAAAATGAAATACAGTTGGCATCCAGTTTGTACTGATCACAACAAAATTGTAGCCACTCGCATACGTTGTTTCTCGTCCAGTATTCGGGGTAAACAGATGTCCACGAAGAATCAGAACCTGCCACAGTGCAATGAAGGGAAAAAACCAGTACATTTAAACTGTGGATGGTTTATTTTAGACATCAAAAGTTTAAATGGAAACACTGTGTTAACAAATATTGGTTAGGGTTAGTTCCAATATCTTTGTGCAAGGATCACAATCTGTGGCAATGTCCTATTATCATAAACAGATAACGGTGTATCACACTTGAATAGGTTGCCTTATAAACTGGGAAATTCTTGTAATGTTCTGGTGGCGGCGGCTAAATTGGTGCCCGGGTAAATCGAAATATCCAGGACTTTGTCTGCTCCCCATTGGAAGTGCTCAACAACTTTTTGAACAATCGTCCCCAAAAGCTGAGCAACTGTGTCTGGATTTTTACTTCTTGAAATATGGCAACCCTACACTTGTGCAGGAGGAGAATTTCTGTTCCTAAGCTGGTAACATTTGGGGGGACTGGCAATAGCTACATGAGCAGCGTTGCACAATGTATTATGGGGCATAGAAATGGGAAGACAGTGGGATGGAATAAGGCAAAACTGAGACAAAAATGACAATTTAGGCACAGAGTTTATGCAGAAATTCACAATCCAGCTCCCTTATTCACTCACTGATTATTCTTTATCCAGGCATTTTATAACATCTGAAAAGAGCTCTAGCCAATCAGTATTGGAGACAAACTATCAGACTAGATTGTCTGATCAAGGCAGGCAACATGTATGCTTATAAATATTTATTAATCCAATTGGACCTAGCTTTAGCAGGAAATTGATTTTAACAGGAAATCTGTTTTTTTATGATAAATGTGTTATGAATTATGATTCCTGTTTCATTGCTATGAAATGGACTTTTCTCTCTATATAAAATGCATTTCTCTCTATATTCTCTACAGTGTGATTGTTTTGGTGATTGCTTTGGTGATTGTTTCTAAAACTTGATGGATTGACTTGATGGAGATAAATATCAGCTTTGCTAGTAATAAAAATGCTAAGGCATGTTCCTTTCTTTCATGAATGATTCTTGCCAGGTCTAGTTTAGTCTTCTTGATTACTTTCACTTCTAAAAAGCTCAGATGATTTTTTTGAAGTCAGAAAACATTCTGTAGAGGTGATTATGTATTTAATCAGTCTGCCAAATACGGCAACTTTAAATCTAGTGTCTTCTCATTTATTTTCATATTCTTTTGCACGTTAATATTTTTGAGGGAAGAAACCATATCACCTACTTGTGCAGTTGGGCAAGAATGGATAGCAATAGTGACTTCAAGAGTGTGTGTGGAATCATGGGCATGCAACACAAAATGTAGAATACCAAGATAGCATAATGTAAAATTCTGAATGAGAGCAACGGCAGGAGAGTGCTATTGCTTGAGGTTTTATTTACTATTTCTGCCACTGGGGAATGGGTCTCTATGAAGAACCTTGTTGCATTACTGAATTGGATTTTTAAAATTATCTGGTGAGAATTCAAAGCCACTATCAAGTTTTGAATGCATTTGGTGAAATTAATAAATTTATGCACTGTAATTTTATACCTACAGCTAAAATGGTGCTATTAAGTATTTTCAGAAAGGAACTTCAGGACACAGTGCACAAGTCATAGACTGTCTTTCTTTTACTAGCATAAATAATATAAATAACACTCCAGTATAAGAGTCTGGATCCTCCTACAACAGAACAATGGTATAGATAAATATTGTCCTAACAAAACAAATTCATATCTGCAATAAGTGACAAGATCCAGCCTCTTTTATAGATGACTGGTGTTCATCTAATTTCTGGATTTATTCTATTACATTAGTTGTTCTGCGATGCTTTCCCAATGCTACTACATTATTGCTGTTGGTGTGTGTGTCCCTGAAAAAGTGTTTTGTTTTTTTTTAAAAAAAGTGTGAACGTGGCAAAAGAGTGCAGCATCCAAAATGGCCACCATGATCTCATGAGAAAAAAATGGGATGTCCTGTTTTTTCCGGGACACTTGGTGGGTATGGGATTGCAGCTGGAAGTTACAAAATATGCACTGACTGGAAATAAAGCAGTATAGCTGCCAAAAAGTTTTGCAGGCACAAATAGTATTGAAAGTCGGATTGTGTGTGACTGCCCTGATAGCATCATGAGCTCAAAAATCATGAATGTGCAGTAAAAACGATATCTGGAAGGAACCTAAGACTACATATAGCCAAACAATTCATCAGGTCAGCTTCGCATAAGGAACACTTCTACGGCACTTGGTACAGTAGTACCTCGTTGTGAGTCCGGCCCATTTAGCGTCCATTTCGTGGAACATCCGTGGCAAACCCGGAAGTACCGGAACAGGTTACTTTCAGGTTTGCTGCATGCACAGAAGCGCTAACTTGTGCCTCACGTATGCGCAGAAGTGCAAAACACGTGCGTGCACAGAGCAGTGCTTTGTCAAGCGTCCCTTTCATCGAGCATCCGGGGCTCCAGAACGGATCCCGGACTCAAAACAAGGTACCATTGTATATTGCTTTTTCATTAGTCATTGCAGCTTGGCTCTGTACAACCTTTCCCAAGCAACAGGGAGCTATGTGAGAGAGTTATGTGCAGGCGTTGGCTGGTCTAGCTGCACATGGGGACAGAACATCAGGCTGATCCTTCCAGCCAATCAGGATTTCTGAAGAAACAGGAAGTGAACTTACTTCACCCTCTTTCTTCTCTTGCAAAAGCAGTCCAGTTGTCTACAAGGCCCTGCTGAAGCAAACAAGAACAGAAACTTGCACATTCTCATCCTCAGCTCCTGGACTTGTGCATAGTCTTTAATTCTGACCTGGCCAATTTGTTTATCATGACGAACTCAGCAGAGATTGGCTATTGTCAATCTTAGTTTCCTGACATCATCATTTCATATTTGCAAATGATGCATTACAACATAATGTTTGTAAAAAGGGGCCTAAAGTTTATGTGGCACTATACATATGCTGTACACAGAGCTCATAATTTAAACAGAAACTAAAAGGAAAAACAAGTTTACAGAAGAAGAAACCTTAGTGAAGTTAAAATGAGAATGGAATTTTTTTTTTTTTGTTCAGTAGCTAACATGAAGATTAAGGAATAAAAAAGGATCAAAACCATGAGACGGGAAATGAGATTTAAAAAATAATTTTCTGAGAAGCAAATATATGTGAAATAGCCAAGAGGCAAGAATTGCATGTAAGAAGTCATGCAAAAAGCAGAGGAAACACAAAGATGAGAAGAGTACCAGAGGCAGATTTAGGGGAACACGAGTTTGGTTGCACTGGGAGCCTCAGGGGCTCCACAACTATGCTGTAGAATGGAAGGCTCACCGAATGTTGGCACACAGGGTGCTGCTAAAATTTTAGAAACCAAGGTCTGCCACTGAGAGCATAAGGGAATGGCATTTTAATGAAATAAAAGGATGTGTTAAGAGAACAAGAGGAAAATAAAGGAGAAACCATGAAGATAGACACAAGTGAGGAAGGACACCAAGAGGCTTAAAAGTCAGAAGACGATGAAGTTAAGCTTGAAATAGTACAAAAGAAGAAACCAGTGAAGAGGAGTATGTGAACAGGAAGCCTTCCCCCTATGCAAATTGTTGATGTGGGCTTTATAGGGCCACAGCACATGGTAAAGAGTTGAGCCCCACTACTCCCCAGCCTAAGGTCTTTATCCAGATCCTGCCAAAAATTTCTATAGCCCCCAACAAGAACCCTGAATTTTAGGGCACAGATATGAAGCAAATGTATTATCTAGTTTGCCCTTCAGTAAGCAGAGCAACTTAGCACAAACATACAGTTAGTGAAAACATAGGGAAATACTTCTGGGAACAGCTCAGTTTTTGGAATAAGAATGGACCTGGATGTTATGGCATGCAGGTGCCATTGTTCATCCAATTCCCTTTTGTTTTCATATTTTTTTTATAGCGTATTGTACAACACTGCATGAGATGTTATAATTCTGTGTGCCTCCCCCTTCTCACTAGCCAATGATGTGAGTATAAGTTGGGAGATGCACAGCACGTATTAAACTCCGTTCAGTCATGAGACAGATAAGAGGCTGTGCTTTCTCCTCTGCCCCCACTGTTGTGCTACTCTGAAATTCAGTTGTAACTTCCACGGTGGGGAGCCTTCTCTACTCATGAAGGCTCCCTGTGCGATTGAGATCCTTGAACCTCTCCATCTGAGAAGTTGCAGTGCAATGACAGGGGCAGGTCACATTAAGTACATCTGTTCTTTCCTCTGTGCAAGAATAATAATTGAGCTAGTAGTGTGTTGTGTAAGATTTTACAAGGGAAAGCAAACAAAGAGAAATGAGCTGACAGTAGTTCTGCATCTAGTCAGGCAGAACCTCTAGTTCTGCTCTAAGATGCCTGAAGAGATGGTGGAATCAGCTACTTACTAGGTTCCCAAGGAAAGGTTAGCCAGGCTTCTCTTGTGGATTTCTAAGGCATAGATTGATATTTCTTTGCTTAGGGCTTCAACAAGATAATCATCATCTCCCTTTCAGCTCTTCGATTGCATGATTTACATGGTAAGCTGCCCTTTCAGCTACCAGACTGTCAAGCAAATAAACCTATTTTCAAGGTCTGAACCTGAAATGTCTTACATATACAATTAAAAAAGGTAAAGAATGAAAGCAACAAATATTTATTTGCAATACAGTTGTCAGTGAGCCAGGTCTCTGCACAATAAATGAACAAGGGCAGTGTATCTGAAAAGACGGTCAGACACAGAATATTACATCACTGAAAGACATATTTATTTGGGTAGAAGATGTTTTGTTGTGGTTGCAGTGCAATTCAAATTATTAAGTAAAAGTAGTAGCTGGCAGTTACTGTGTTGAGTGCTTGTTAACGAAGCACCAATGTACCCACCTGTTAGGTGATCAAATGGAGGGTAGTTTTCTTCAGGTGCTCCAAACAGTTCTGACCAAGACATCAGGGATTCACATAGCATTGTGTTTGGCAAGAAGGTATTGTGGCTTACTGAGTCCAGCATCATCCTGAAATATAACATTATTATTCTCATTGGTTAATTCCTACACATGCAACCACCACAACAATAGTTCCCCAGTGCATAATTCCCTAACCCTATCCTCTACCAAGTAAGCTTGACCACTCATGCCTTGAACTGATACATATTCTTAGTAGACTTGCAAGAACATGTCACATTAAACTATAAACAATGTTTTAATGCAGGGGTTGCCAACCTGGCACCTGCAGGTGCCGCAGCACCATTGAAGGCCTTCGTTGGCTGCCCCAGACAGGAGGTACAGATCCTGAGCTTTCATTTTTAAAGAAAGGTCAGTCTCTTTCCCCCTTAGAAAGAAAGTTGTGAAGCAAAATGTGCAGGCTCCCCTCTAGCAATTTCTGTGAAATGAGCCAGTCTGGCTGCTTTTGTCTGTTTGTTTTTAGCCAATGAATGAAGTCAGAGCTGTGTTTGGACACCAGCCAGTGAAAATTCATGGAATCCTGAGAAGCTTCCCTTCCCCTTTAGAGCTCTGGGGTCATCCCATAAATTTGAATGGTGGAAGATTCAGGGCAGACAAAAGAAAATACTTCTTCACACACTGCCTAATGGAATTTGTAATAAGATGTAGTAACCAACTTGGATGGCTTTTAAAAGGAAATTAGATACATTCATGGAGGATAAGGGTGCCAATGACTGCTAATCATGACAGTGATAGTTTATCTCCAATATCAGCAGCAGTGTGCATCTACGTACCAGTTGCTATGGAACAAAAGTTCCATTGTTGGTAGGCTTTCCATAGCAATTTGGTTGGCCAATGCTTGGAAACAGAAAAGATGGGTGTTTGGTCTGATCCAGCAATATGCTGCATTTTGTTTGCATGGAAGTATGTATACACTTCTCTGAGCTTTAAAAATAGGGAAGAATTTCTTGTAGTCAAAAGCAAGTATAATATATGAAAACTTGCCTTTGACTACAGCTGCCTTTAAACCAGAGCATTTTGCTCCATTTCATCCATTCCCTAGGCAAACAAAAGAATTTATTTATCTATAAAAATATTTATATACCGCTTTATCATAAAAATGTATTGCAGCAGTTTACAACAAGCAATTTAAAAACATAAAACCAAACAATACCATCATAAAAAGCTAAGAACAAGCCAAAAACAAAAATAAATTAAGAGCAAACACCTGTAGACCATTCTGGAGGATGTAATCTTAATTTCCTTCATAGGCCCGGCAGAATAGAAAGGTTTTCAGCGGGTGTTTGAAAGTTGGCACAGAAGGAGCCCACTGAATCTCTATTGGCAGGGTGTTCCAAAAAGGGTCCTGAAATGGGCCTCATAAACTCAGTGAATGACCAAAGACGCTCCTGTTATGTACTGAAGTTCTCACCCTGGACCAGCAGGGGGATACTGTAGATAGTTCAGGTCCACATATGCAAATAAGGGATCGAAAGTGACGTTCAGTGATTGGATAGTTACAGAAAATGGTTACTGTTGCGTTCTAGTGGAGCTCTATATAAGCAGGCTGGCTGAACCCTTCAGTTCAGTTCTGTTCTGGCCTGTGAATAAACAAGAGCTGTTTGAAGAATCGCTGTGTCGTTTGATATGTTAACCCACAACTTAAAACTGGCGACGAAGGTGGGATGGATGGACAACAGAACATAGCCAGATGCAGCCACCCTCTGAGCAGAGCTGAAACACTGAGCTAAAACACCGAGCGAAATCACTGAACAGAACCAATTCAGAGCTCACTGTTCTGGCTAGAGCTCTATATAAGCAGGCTGGCTGAACCCTTCAGTTCAGTTCTGTTCTAGCCTGTGAATAAACAAGAGCTGTTTGAAGAATCGCTGTGTCGTCTGATATGTTCACCCACAATTTAACAGCTCCTGGATTAGAAACTTTGACATTCCACCCAATCAGGTTGATATTGCGACTCTACATAGTCAAGGCTTTATGTTGTGAACTGCTCTGGGATCTTTGGATGATGGGTGGCATACAAATTTAATAAATAAAAATAAAGACAACTGAGAATGAGAGCAAGTTAATAAATAAGCAAACTTTTTGTTAAAACAAAGTATCTTTAATCACTGCTTAAAAAGTGACAGCTTTGGTCTGACCTCTTCATAACCACCACATTTAGGATTATGTGGCACATCTTCATACTCAGAAAATTTCAGCTCTTTGGTAGGTTTGATCCCTGACATCTCTCTTAGATTGTCAAGCATAGTGAATGTCGGGGTAAAACAGACAAAAGCGGGTAGTACAAAATGTAAGGATATGTATTTTGTTATAAAATCCTTTGGCAAAGAACTGGATATTGAATTGTTTGGTTCAATTGATTTCACTTACACAATAAGAGGGATGTGAAATAGGCTGAAGGAAGGAAGTGACTTTTTTTGCATAGAGGCAGGACTAATATGTAGGACACCCTTGCTAGATTTTCCTGTATCTTAATTAGCTACATAGAGAAGACAAAAGCACTCAAGGTGCTCAGGGCTTGCTATTTGTCAAGGGATATACTGAAGTTAATCAAGTATGATTCAAGCTACGGGAAGAAATGAACAACTATTTGAGTTATAGCCCTGTCTCACCACAACCCGTGGAGATCAGTTAACACCTTTCATTGAGAAAGAAAAGCTGTTCACTGAGATTTTGAAGGAAACTTTATTATGGCTTTTGACACAAATCCAGCCCATTGACTGTTCCATCTCAGATTACAATTATTTCTGAGGAAAGAGAAAATTGTACTGGAAGAATTCTGAGTCATCCTATAATGTGGCTAATCAAATAAGAGCTGATGTTTGACAAAAGCAATACATCAAAGACGGATTGCAAATTTACATTTTCTCTGAATGCTAACTTCCTTCCCTGCAACTGAAGTTGTATACAAGTGGATTTTCATGTGAAAATGAGGTGGCAAATTCACTTTTTATTTTGGCAGCCCAGGTTAAATGTTTGAATCAGCCCTTATTCTCCGATTTAATGAATGCAATTGCTCTTTCTTCTGTTCTAAGGAATCTGAATGGTTTCAGGATTCCTGTTGCCATAGATATATGCATTTGACCTTGGTTCATTATTCACTAGTACACCCTTCATTCAAAGAAATCTGCCAGAAATGACTAGCTGAACCTCACTGGTGGATTCAAATTTTGCCCTTTTATTATTATTAGCATTTCCAAGCAAAACCAGGTGTGAGACTGCTAGTACTTTATAAGGTGGAAATAGCAGTTCATAATTAGTTCGGCAACTGAAGCTAAGCTCTATCTACCTTTATGAAAGTTAATAATATTGCATGTTAGAACTGTAACTGAAAGGCAAAGTGACCTTAAACATTTGACTTTAAACCTTTCTATTACTGCTGTTACACCTTTTTATTGCTATTCCATTGTTCCCCTTCTGGGGTAGTTTGTCCCCTTTTGGTCCCTACCCTGCACTCAGCTCTCACCTGGGGCACCTAGAAGCTGTTAGCATTTGACAGTGGCCACACCCTGGCCGGCTAAACCAGGTGAGGGTAGCCGATGGGTCTCAAATGCTCCATGAGCTAGGAACTTTCCCTGCATGCAAAGACAACAACAACTTCTTTATCCTACATTTGATGTTCTTATGTGGTAAACACTAGTTGCCAAATCAATAGTAAATTACTTGCCTACTCATTTTTTAAACTCTTTACTTCCTTCTAGATGAAGTTTCAATTAGGGCTGAGCAAAACCTGCCTCCCCAAATTTCCCATACTATTTGTGGGTGGCAAAAGGGGTGGGCGGGCTGGGGAATTTTCAGATTATGAGGACATTTACCCACAAAGCTCACTTCTGAGAAATTTGGGCTCACATAATGTTGAATGACAGTCTGTTGTTAGTTCATATTGGAGGATGAAGGAAGCAGTGAGTTCAGAGGGCATAAACTCAGATACACAATTACTGTATACATTTGCTTGCGTAAGTGCTGAGGACTGTTAGTAATAGTAATATCTATTGTTACAAATAAACAATATATAAAATAGCCTTCAATAGAGCAAATTTGACCCAAACCAAATTAAATAGTCCTCTCTCCTCAAATTCTTGGTCTATGTCTATGGCAATGACAAGACTGGTAATCTGTACTTCAAACCTAGAAGAATAGGCAGCAAAGATAACTGAAGCAGCATGACATTTTAACAAGACTGAATGGAAGTTCCTAGCCTTAAATCGCATTCCCCCACCTGTCTTCCCCCACTTCAGAAAAGAAGATATACACCAAAGCAGGCTGTCAAACAAGGTGACGATTGTCACTGTGAGCCACAACCAATTTAGCCTGGAATCTTGACTTGACTATCATAAGCTTAAGAAAAATGGTTTCTTGGCCCTTCTCTATTTCCAGCTCCTTATTTGTATTTCTAACAAAATAATTATTGGAAAAAGTCTGTGACAACAATATAGTTTTTGGAGTAAAAGGAATACAATACAACAAGGTGATTGTTATAATTGCAGAATCAGGAATCGTATGGTTTCCTGGCAATTACTTTTTAGATCAGATTTGCAATATGAATCTAAATGCACCACTTCAAAAACAGTTCCATGGACCTCAACAAACAATTAGACAGTTTGAAGTATGCATGTACAGGACTAAAAAGGAAGGAAGAATTAATTTTATATATTTTACAATTTTGCCAACAATGTACTTCAACATTATATCTGTTAATTGAAGGAATACTCAGAAATAAAATCAAAATGAGGCTTCTGAAACCATTTTAGTTTCTAAAAAGTAGAATTTTGCAGGACTAAAGTCTCCTTTATCACATGATAACTAATATTCCATATATTCTATGTTCTATATATTCCAGATATTCTATTATGAAATAACTGAACAATATCCATCCAAAGTTTTTAGCACTGTTACGCCTCATTGGTTTCAAAAAGAGAATTAAGCATGTGCTTTAAATCTTTTCCATTGAATCCAGAGGGATTTAAACGTAGGGCATCTTTGGGAGAAGAAAAGGCTAAGGAGTAAACACTACATAAATTCGGAGTGGAGTTTCTAAGATGGTTGGATG